AGAAAAAAAATCCCTGTACGCGATTGACGATCCCTCTTTCCCGACTCCATGATTCAACGACGATCGGCGATTAATGACGATTACTATCGGGATTACTAGAATTACTATCGAAATTATTATCACTACTATTAGGATCTAACGATTTCTGCTCGACTTGAAACAGAGAAATCCGCAATTGGGGAGGAAAACGAGAGATGTGGATCAGAAGAGACGTCGTAAGGTGGTTTGAATTCGAATATGGAAAAGCTTTGATGCCAGACAAACTCATGCGGTTCCTGCTTACTTCCGAACAAACAAACTCGCTGTCCTTCTGCCTGCTCAGCCGGCAAGCATCAATCGGAGATCGGCGGCAGAACTCAGACGAACAATGGGATCAAATCCAAAACCGCGAGAAACGAAAGGAAATAAATTTCTAGAGGGATGAAAGGAATCGCAACTCTTTTTGCGTTCTTGTATCTCTGTTTTGAGACCCGAGGCTTGGAAGGCTAGGCTTTTATAGACGCATCGAGTATGTAAAATATTGTACGCGCTTTCTCTGTTTGACACGTGTCCCAATTCAAAATGGTAAATTGCGTGACTTGGCGGCAACAATATCCATGGAGAACAAATATAGTAAAATGAAATAAAACGATTTAATGCGAAACGAAATACAGTAATATATATGTGGAATGTATAAATAAAATAATTTATATATTATATAAAATGCAAAAAAGGAAGAAAATCTAGAATAAAATGACATAGGAGATAAATAAACAATATAAATGAAAACAAACATGAGATAGTCGTCCAAAAATATGTAAATAAAGAAGAAAAATTATATTATCCAAAATATTGTCTAAAAATATAGTAACGTTTTATAGAATATATAAAAAAAAGAAAGTCTGAAAAACAAATATTTAGTTAAGAACAAAAAAGGCTGTAAAAAACCATAAATAACTAAATAAATAAGAAACAAAACAATTAAACAATATAAATACTACAAATACGAATATACATATATAATGTAAAATGGAAACAAACTTATATAAAAGGAAGAAAATCTGAAAAAATAAAGAAGGATAACAATCAAACAATATAAATGCAAACAAATATATATTATACATATATCATAAAATGTAAATAAATATATAAAGAAAATTGTTCAAAAATATTTAAATAAAGAAAAACAATTATAGTAAAATCTGAAAAAATAAAGAAGGATAAGAATAAAAAATATAAATGCAAACTAACATAATATTGTACATATATCTTAAAATGAAAATAAATATATAAAGAAAATTGTTCAAAAATATTTAAATAAAGAAAAACAATTATAGTCCAAAAATTCATGTAAAAATATAGTAATGTATATGTATATGGAATATAATATATATATATAAAGAAGTAAATTTGAAAAAGTTAATGTAAATATATATAAATAAATAAGAAATAAAATAATTAAAACAATGCAAATGCGAAAAAAAAACGTAATGTATAACATGAAAAATACACAAACTCTATGCAAGAGAATCTGAAAAAAAAAAACAACAGGAAAGAATGAGATGAATAAAACAACATAAATGAGAATAAACATAATATTATACATATATATACTAAAATAAAGACAAACATATGAAAAAATCGTTTAAACTGTGTAAATAAAGAAGAAAATATAAAAAAATATATAATTAAGAAAGAAAACAGTAAAATAATATATGTAAATAAATATAATGTATATTTTTATCATAAAAAGTGAAACAAAAAATAATATATTAAAAAACGATAAAAAAAACACCTAAATAAGACCGGAAATAAACAAATAATATAAAATACAAATAAACAAAATATGTAAACATATATTTTAAAATAAAAACAAATATTAAAATATAAAAACAAAAGAAAATATGTGGGAAAAGCCAGTAAAAAAAATAAAATGAGTAAAAAATATAAAATGCAAGTAAAAATAATATATATATATATATATATTAATTACCATGAGCATTCACTGCGATTATTTTTTAATGATTCATAGAGTTTGACAAATTTCATTCCATATGCACTCCATGTGCATTATGATTTAATTATACTGGATGCAACATATATTTCAGGAATATATTATATTCATGTGTTTTAAGTCATCAAATAGAAAGATAACTGTATATTATGTTTATAAAAGAAAGAAGAAAATGGATTTTCATGAGTTCGAATTTGTAAAATGAAAAAAAAAACCCATGATTTCTTTTATAATATTTATAGATAAAAATAATAATGACATAAAAATCGAAAATTGATTATTATATAACTTGGCTATATATATAATTAATCTTTTTGGCTATATGGATTAAATAATATTTCAATGTATTTGGATCTACAATTCAAATGAATTAGATGCGGCGAAATTTAAAAAAAAAACAATATCCGATTTGTATTGGTTATGATGAATTAAGATATTATATATATATATATATATAACAACACCAGTATATTTAATTATTTATTGGATAACAAAAACCATAACTGCATTGACCCAATCGATACGGACTCGCACGAGTCCAAGGTTTCTTCATACCGAGTTTTATTCAGCACAATAACTTTTTAGTTACGAACTCGCACGAGTCACGACACAACACCACTCGGAACCATGGTTAATGACATTTAACAGTAGAGGTTCGAGCCAGGGGTGATCCCAAGCTTCTGGCAGTATTGCTTGTAGTAGTTAACCCTTGCCCTGACGGCGCTAGGTCTTCCTCCGTTGCATTCGCCGCCGTTGATTCTTCGAGTTGTCGCACCGAAACCTTGGCTCAGGACAGGACGGACGTTCTTGTTCCAGAACCACATAGCCGTCTTGAACGCGACCGCCGGGCTTCGAGCCACCATGTCCGGGTCCCTCAACAAGGGCAGTCCCAAGAACTTGCCGGCGGCACCGTAATTGTAGTTCCATGTGATTTGGATCGGACCACGACCGTAGTAGTTCTTGCCCGGTGCACAAGGGTATACGGTGCTTGGCGAGCAGTATCTTCCCCTTGCTATTTCTTCCTTGTAACAGAAATCTACACACAATATATGCAATATATATATATATAGTCTCCAATTATGACATTTCATGTGAAAACTTTGCGCAACACGTGTGACAATGGGTATGTAAACAAGACCCAGAATTCGTTAAATCTAGACCTTACAATATACATATATACATGAATATTATTAGAGAATATATTATTAATATACATGAATAATTTAATTTAGTATTCTGATAGAATTTAATAACCTGGTTTAGTTTTCTGATTTGATTTAATCGTTCTCTCGTTTGAATGGAAAACCAAGATATTATTCGGTAATTCTTGACATGTTATCAGAGTTTCGGTTATATTCTCTAAGTTTCCATGTATATATATGGTTAAGATTTTATTTGTACTTTTTGGACGTACCCAAATATTTCATATCTATGTACTTACGTAATATTTTGTGCTACATCTCTATCAAGTGAATGAAACGTGTTAAGCTAAATACAGTTATAAGCAAAACTTACTTCCAGATTCGTGAGTGAACTGAGCCAACATAGCGGCGATCTCACGCTTAGCCACCGTCCCCTTGTAGGCAGCGAAAGATTTAGCCGCCGTAATAAAAGCCTGTCGCGTGTAGAACCCTTTGGCCGGACAACCGCTACCGACTTTGCTGATAATGCTGTTGAAGAAGGCAGGCGTTATGATGCTCTCAATCGTACCACGGGGACCTGCGTTTAGACCGCCGCTTCCGCTGGGGCTCGGGCTGGGGCTGGGTTTGGATTTGCAAGGTCCATTCTGACAACCGGCCCCGCAGTAGGCGTTTGTGGAACCGCAATATCCCCATCTGCTGCAGCAGAGGTTGCGTGGGCAACCGGTCTTACCGCAGTTTTGAGAAAACGCCGTTTCCGACACGGTTAAGATGAAGAGGAGGAGAATGAGGGAGCGTTTCACAATCGCGTTTTGGATCGTCATTCTTCTTCTTTTTTTTTTTAAAGAGGATTGATTTTGAAGCCAAGGGAAGAGGTGTGAAGAGTCGAGGAGGGTTTGGGGAGGTATTTATAGCGAAGTTTGCCATTTTAAAAGATTGTTATGGTCAATTTAAATTATTCGTTCCGATTAAAAAATCATTAGAATATTTTGGTTTCTTGGTTGAATAAGTCATGACACATTCATTGTCTTGTCGTTATGCGCTTTTGATGAACCGGCTCGGTCTACTACACTATTATTTAACCTATTCTCTATATCGCGAGAGTATTTTAGGGTTTCAGACGTGTTAAACTCTTTACATCTCAAAATTTTTTAGGGTTTCAGATTGTGTTTTTTTTTTCTCATCATCTTCTTCGTTTCGCCATTCTTTTTGAAGTATCAAAAGGACGAGATATCCGATATTTCGAGAATTGTAAGGTTCGATCGAATTATCTAATTTTTGAACGTTACATCACAAACGAAATTGAATGCATCCGACTTTAAACAATATTGAATATGAATTTCGTTTAGGGCACGAAGAAGCCTTAACGTTGAATATATGTACGTAAGGTTTTATTAATTAAAAATATTTGGAATTTACATTAACACTCCATTGAAGGAGTATGAACTACGCGATCGAAATTCTAGGTCCCCTCTTCCTGGTCTTGCCACATAGGATATATTATCTTTTGAAAATCGAGCATGAACTGAGTCGTTTAATGTAATCTAAAAAATACATAAAATTAATTAATCATCTCATTATAGTAAAATGACATGACAATGTTATATGGTATTCGATTTGAAATTTACGTACATGGCCTGCCTACAGTGTATCGTGTGTGTCTTCATCTGTAACTTATCCGATCCAATATATATATACACACACACACGTTTGCGTGTGGCTGTGTATATAACTTAGGAACACAAAATACGGTGTTTGTATTTTTATTTATACGGTTTTTTAGTGTATAGAGCATGAATGAACACGATATATATGTTATTCATATCATTAAGTTTTTCAGCTTAGACGATAATATATATAATTGGGATGTGATAATGCTAATTAATAACATAATGATAATCATATATTAAGGTTGACCAAATGCATAATCAAAACGTTTACTTCAGCGCAAATTTTGGCCCTTGAAATGCGCTGACGTGGCCCTCTCTTTGTCCAAGTCCACGCCCCCTTATACATGCATGGCACATGCAGTACATGAACTCCATTTATTTACGTCGCCATAAAATTAAAGTTGTACGAACCGGAGTAGAAGCGTCTTAGATATATCTAGAATTTGTCGTATTGTACGGTATTGGATCGGATATCTATATATACGGATGTTAAGATTATTAGGAAGATATGGATCGATTGTAATATATAGAAGCATTTGATGTGGCCGGTTAAGGCCGGTTTAGACATGGTAACATTATTCAAAACCTTAGATACATTTGTGAAGATAGCCATTCATTTGTTGTTCATCTTTTGGTTGGAAGAACGTTATTTCAATACAAGCAACGTATGCACGGTTCCAAAGAAGAATGAAACTGTTTTTTTAGTTACTACTTGTAGAGATAAAATGTTTTAAAGTTTAAAAGAGTTTAGAGCAATAATAAAAAGTTCAACAGAAGAATGAATTATAATAGGAAAAATAAATCAAAAGTTAAAAGTGAAATTAATATAATACCTTTTTAATTATTTTTTTAGCTTTGGGAACTCAATCCATTCGGACGCGGTGATAAACTCCAACTCCACGCAATAACCTGTAAAATACGTAGAATAGATAAACCAACCGAATCTAACAAGTTTAAGAAAAACTCATGTTGAAAAGGGTTGAACTCACGACTATAAAGAGGGTAAATCTTTCAACCAATTAAGCTGGAAGTTTATTTGGTAAAAAATAAAATTCAGATTTAATTTATTTTGTAAAAATTGACAAATTAAGGTATTTTTTAAAAAATTACCTACAATAAATTCAGGTTTAATTCATATAAGCATTTTATGCAAATCATTGATAATAATGCATAAATCAAACACAAAATTGAACCTTTAGAGGCTGTGTGAAAATTGGGCAACTGATAAGGGGATCGGGAGCTGACGGCGTCGTTTTAGTCGCCGACTAGAAGGAATACTTGTGAAACGACGCCGTCTTAGCAACGGTTAAGCGCCGGTTCGGCTCAAATTAATTTGGTTATCGATTACTTTGATCGGTTCAGACTTACCAACCCATTTTGGCCAGTCAAGCGAGTAACGGCGTCGTTCTCTCACTGCACTTTGACCGGTTCAGAGCTAACCATTTCGTTCGTTATCTTTGGCTTTGGTATCCAATATTCGACCACTGGTATCAACTTTGAAGAATTTAGAGATCAATCATAAATTAGTAAGAAAACAGCCAAAACCTGTCATTACAAATTCCAAAACCTGGAAACTGGCAAAAGGATAAAAAAGGATATGTTTTTATGGCGGGAGGAGAAGATCCTTCACAGCTTCTTGGGTTTAGGTGTTGAATTGCTACCTTTCTTATCTGCTTCTGTGGATTTTTTCCGGTCCTTTCTCTCCCTCTTCTTCAACGCGGTCATGCGAGCCTTGAGGATAAGTGCATACGACGCTTGAAATCTCTGGTAATCCTTAGCCCCGACCTTGATTGATCGGTAATGAACATCACAAGTTAACAGAATGCGTGCTAATGGATGTAGCAAATTGCTGATGTTTCACTCGAGAAATTCCAAGTTTCTAATACATAGAATGAATGAATAAGATCAGGAATGTTGTAGGACACGGAGAAACACGTGTTTATTCAACGGGTAACGGGGTAGAAGTGGAACATACCGAAGCGGAGATTGTTTTCTTGCCACTGGTTGCTCGGATAAGGCATCTATGTTCTACCGATTCTCCAGCTGCATTCATTTTCCTGTTCTGCAACTTCGACTTCAGAGTCGCTATACCGAGAACAATGGGAAGATTCTCGATTTCGTTGTTCGTGGAAAACATCTATCAGAATGTAAAGTGAAGAGGGTAGAGTTTACATCTTTTAAGAGTAACCCACACGGAGCCCTTCTCTTGGCTTTTCTCAAACATGCTGGTGAGCTCATTGAGGAAGGGGTCGAGCTGTAGAAGAACCTGACACAATCCCAAAAGACAGCTTAAGGAAATGCACGACAGGAAAATTGGAACAAGCCCTGTTGGAATCAACAGAGCTTAGAAGCAATCTACAACAATGTGAGTGGCAAAGATCAACTACTAAATTCTCTTATTTTTTGTGTATAATCTAGATATGATCAAGTGAAAGAACCAAAACATAAACACAAAAACATTACGATTAACTCCAAGATCTAGAATCCTCTGCACTGAACCACGCAATCGGGATCGAGACTTACCATGACGAGTCTAGGGGAGAGATTTTCTGCAGACCCTCGAGCACAGAAATGCCTCTATCACTCCAGGTCATTGAGAAGAACAAAATCACAACGCGAAAACGGAAGAAAGTAAGATTGAAAATACAAGAAGCGTGTACGAGTTACCGACATTACACTGAAAACACGATTTCAAGTTATTAGCACGATCGAACAAGTGTTAGGACTATCGAGTGCTGCCAATTCGATATTCCCGATTTTTTCGGCAACAGAACCAATAAATCACCATAAAACCTCAGAATCTTCGATTAAATGTAGACGAAACCCACAGGTACCATAGCCGCAGAGAATCATAGTAACTCAAATTCCGAAAATCTCCCGGGGGTGAGGGGAATCAAGCAAAATGACAAAACTAACGACGATTCGCGTGCTGAAGTAGACAAAATATGAAAGAAAATCAAACAGATTCATGTCGTAACTCACCAGAAACAGATGATCTGATTCAAAAACCAAAAACGGGTGAAGTTGGATGAAAGTGCGACGGAGGAATTTCTCTGGTAAAAGGACGTCTCGGAAAGGACTCGGATTAATATAATTTGGGCCTTAAATAGGCCTAATAACGTGTTGGATTTAATTTTCGAACCGTACTATTGGGCCATTAAGAGGCTCCAAACTTGAAGCCCAAAATATTCAAAATCTACAAAGCGCTTTGGCTGCTCGAAGTCGAAGCTGAGAGAGAGAGAGAGAGAGAGAGAGAGAGAGAGAGAGAGAGAGAGAGAGAGGAGGGGGGGCTGAGAGAGGGGAGGTATGACTCCACACTTAACGTTTTTTTTCTGAGGTTTTGTTTGTTTGGAGATCGAGCGCCGGAAAAAGAAACCCTGATTTCGTGTCTCCTGATGAAAACCAAAGGTTTAATTTTTTTTTTCTGGGTTCATTGTTTTGTGTGGCCTGTTCCAGTTTTAGATGGCGCTTAGAGGAGTATGGCAGCTTCAGAAGCTGATTGTGAGCTGCTGTAACTGGGGAGGTAGCAGTAGAGGAATAAGGCACGGACCTCACAATCATCCCTCTTTTGTTTTTCTTTCTGTTGATTTTATATTTTTTTTAATAATCATGCATATGAATTCAGTAGCAGAATCTTGTTTCTGAATCATCTTTGGGTCCAGTTCGAAAGCCTCCCCCTTTTTTTCTCAATCTTGATTGCAATGTGTTTCCTCGTGTGATCACCAATGGCCTCTGTTCTCTATTTGGGGTCTTTTCTAATTTTGTTTCTTAGTTTTCTCTTCCCCATTGCTGTTTGTTCAGTCCTTGGGAATCTGTGTATTGGATTGGTTTCTTGCAGGGCCTTTGTGGAAACTCGCCTGCCTGAATCTAAGGAGAAAAGCCCTCATTTGGAAGTGTGGTTGCCGAGCTTGCTCGAGGACAGCATCCCTTTGTAAAGGGTCAATACAGTATGCTCTCTTCTTGTCTGATCACATGGAATAGGCTATGTATTACTTATACCAGGGTTTTGTGCTTGTGAGCTTGACGTTTACGATTCTGCATTTTGGTAGGAAACGGGAACGAAAGGGTGGTGTGTGAAGAACATGGATCCGGAAGAGATCCTCTTAAACGCAACAAGGCTCAGCAAGTCGCTCGGGAGGAAAGTCGTGAAACTGAGGACGAGGCATGCAACCAAGCGCCCGAGCGTCCAAGGCACATGGACTACCGAAACGACAGTTTGAGGCTTTGATTTGACTCGTCCATGCAAGCAACGTCCCTTTCTTTTAGCTTCATTTCTCGGCAGTTGAATCGATAGAGAAAGTTGCCAAAGAACTCTGATACATATGAGTGATATATTCGACATTTTTAGATTCTATGTTCTTCTAGAGATTGGTAGCGGTAGATCTATGCATCAGCAATGGCCTCTCAATCCCGTTGTGGTTCCAGAATGCGAATTCACCATTACAAAGAGAGATATAATGACAAAACCCAAAAGAACTGTTTCTTCATTTTCTTTGTTCTTTGCTCTGTTTCCGCCATTGGAAACTGGCAAAGGTAATATCGTGATGTTAGCCTTTAGTACATGTAAACCAACAAAAGCTATTTGATGTAATGGCAATAGAGGAGGAGGAAAAAATCAAGAAAGCTTTTCAAGTGTTTTGGGTTTAGCTGCTGTGGTCTCGTGTAGGAGATGAAGAAGATGACTTGGCTTCGGGGCTCGAAGAAGAGTATGATGACTTGAGGTACGAGGAGGCTACTTCTAACATCACATTCATCTCTTTCTTGTACTGAAAAAAAAAATTGAAGATACAATCATCTTCTTTAGCAGAAAGTGACTTTTAATTTTATCAAATGGGTAGCACGTTTGGTTAGATGCGTTCCCTCACCTCATCAATGGCCCCGGATTTGATCTTGGATTGCATCAAGCACCATTTCTTGAAATGTACACCTGTAGAAAATACATCCAAACTTCAACTGGTTTTCTTGCATTCTCAGTAGATCCAGTTTCTGTCAGCAGATAAGGGCAAGGATCATCTACACATCTCATGTCGTGTTTTCTTGCATTCTCAGTAGATTCAGATAAGGGCAAGGATCATCTTGAATACTAGAATGCAAGAAAAACATGACATGAGATGTGTATTTGACTGGTTCTGTTGTAGCAAAACCTGACTAATGCAAGGCTGAAACACAGTATCACTTCAGAGATGATGGAGATCTGATCCGAGTGTTCTAAAAGCATTACTCAGTTAAGATTTGTTCCGAGAAAATGCGGATCATACAAACGCATTGCCCAAGCTTTAAAGCTTCATAAAACGAACTTCTTGAAAGTTCAATGACATACCCACTCTTATATCTATAGAAGAAGAATTATCGTCTCTAGTTTCCAGTCGCCACCGACAGTGAACCTGATACCAATGAGATCCAGAGAGTTATTGAGACGCAAGAAAACACATTGAGAAATTCCGGTAAACAAGAATTGGGAAATACGTACCTCAAAACAAGAACCGAAAGGAACGTCGTGCGGCTGTTGCACCATTTCGAAAACCTACAAGAAAGAAAGTTTGTGACTTGACTTTTTAATCAATGGGATCTATTATCAGATCTCCAGAGAGGACAAAAAAGGAAGTTGTTGAAGGAACATACAAGTGCGTTCCTGTTTGGTGATAGAACAACATGCTGACATTCCGTCACTGCAGTGTCTGGAGGACACATAGGACTATTACAAATGGATCTGAACTTAATCTCTCTCACTTTCCCTTCATATTCTTCA